TAGCAATCATTGCCCAGTAACCCTTATCTCTTTTTTCCAAATCTGGGTCAAGGGCCTTTGCTTGTCAACCAATTGTTTAACTTGCAAATCAGCACACAGATTGGATATTGCATTCCACTCGATAAACAGATTTGAGCCTTTTATTATGTTCCTCTGCAAATAATTTCAGAGGAATGGTTCGGTATCAACACTGATTGAAGTGGACATTGATTGAAGAAATCCATTCTTCAATCTGATATCCCCACAGAAGGTTGGATTATAGTTCTCGTATTTTTCTACAAACGTCTGGGAATAATGCAGGCTTTTTACTCCAATCTGTCTGAAGGGCATGAATCTGGGAAAGATCAATCTGTCTCTATAGTTTGAAAATCTAAAGCCCAATTCTCAATGCTTACCGACACAACAATGCCAGAACAATTATCTTCATGTTTATGTTGAAGTAAATTCTGTCATGATCAATACAATTTACTCCTAAAAATAAGTCCATAGGTCATAAATATTTAGAACTGTTCCAAAAACTGCAAACTGCCTCTTGTTTTCTTTTGAAAACGTCATAAATAGCATGTGGACCCCAATGCTTTAACTTAGATAATGCAGATGAACCCCCGTTTCTGCAACCTCAAAATGTCCTTCTTTTTCAAATGCTGCTAAGTATAATGCCAACTCCAAAAAGTAGCCACTTGTTCTATTTGTTTTCTTAAAACCTCTCAGATTTAACTTGAAGAATATTGATTCAGAACATCTCAACCTCACGCACCTTTTTTTTGGGGGGGGGAGCAGAAATTTACATTTAGATAAATACAAATGGGACACATTCCAGCTAGCCAACCAGCTCTCCACCAGCATGATTGGGCTTCTTTTCAAATGAATAAGTGGGTCTCCACTCAAGTCTATTAGGACTGAAGTCTAAGACCATGGCAATTAATAAGAGAGTTTAATCAATAAACTCTTATTTACTTAGTAGTTTAATAAATAAAATATGGTTTAAAACAATTGGTTGTTTGCACAGATGTTCCCAAATATGAAAGGATTACTGTTTCACATATATTTAAGACAAAGGATGTTTATGACAGAAAATTCATAAAAAATGCTGTCTGTCCTATCACACAAACATTATATGATGTTTATAGAAAAAAAATTCTAGAATGCTGTTAGAAAACTCAAAAAGTGAGGACAAAGGTCTTTATTACATGAAAGCTTTTTAATTTCTGTTCTTGAACAGCTCCCAGATGTTTCAATGAGGCTGATGCCAAAGAACCTTCCAGAAGATTGTCTCCAATGCAATCAGACCAAAATGAATCATGCACAGAGCATGCACAGAGAACAAAAAGGAAGTTAAACTTTAGCTCTGGAACACATTTCCCTTTATCTCATTTGTGCAGCATTTTTCAAAGTAAAACAAATGGACACAAAGTTCAATTGCAAATACCCTCAGCATAAATGGAGCAAAAAATTACAACATGCCAAGATAATGAAGGTTGTATTGCAATGCACACTTACATGGGAGGACATTTGCAGTGATTTCAGCTTTTATATTGACATATAACAGTTGTAAAATGAAGGTGCAAATTAAATACAAACGAGGTAAGAGTTGTAGCAATTATTTGGATGAGAAGATGATAGGAACGGATATCAAACTTGCAGATGTCACAAAATTGATGGGATAGTTAATACTGCAGAAGACAGAAATAAAATTCAAAATTCGTGATAGGTTTGCAAAATGGGTTGTGAACAATAGGAAAAAAATCTGACAGACAGAAATCAAATGCACATGTAGAAGGAGGGATTATGTGGATTGGCAACAGTACTTGTTTAAAATCCTGAAATTGTAGTTGATTATAAGGTGAATGTTGTCAGCAGCATTGTAGCTGAAAACAAGTCAAATACAGTTAGATTATATCACCATAATATACTAATTGATACATTTTATTCTGCTTTGGTCAAAATCCTACCTCAAGTTCTGGGTTCCAACTTATCTTAAAGATTCAAAAGTCTGTAACAGTTTCAGACAAAGACAAAGAGAGGGATGGAAATTTGAGAAAACTGAAGAGAGTGACAATCAAATGGCATCTCTCTACGTCTCCACTTGAGAGTCAGAGAATTAGGAAATGAAAGATTATCATCATCTTCCCATCCCGATCATAGTTATATTGATTTTATTGTTGTTGTTAGATACATAGTCAGCCAGGTGTTTAGACTGGATTTGGTTTTTCTAACCACCTATCGAGTCCTTTCCAAGAACCTGGGTTAGGCTGTTATTTGATGGCATTAAAGATATTGTCAGAGGAAGCAAGCTCTTTCCAAGTAAAGCTACCATTTTCAATTGACTGATGGTGATTTCATCAATGCCAGTGTTATTACCATTAATACTATTATTCTATACACATGCTGTTTTGACGCTCTTCTGATTGTTTAAGCTTTCTGTTGTGGTTCCACTAAATCCAGGATATCACGTCAGGGAAGACAGTATTAGTGCATAAGTGCACCATCGTGCCTACCGTCCCTGTCCTATTGTCCCCATTTATTCATACCTATTTCCTGTATTCTTACTCATGTTTATACTTATACCTAGTATCTTGTAAGTGATTGACAAATAAAATAAAATAAAACAAATAAATAAATCTTGTGACAAGGAAGAAGTAGGTTTAATTGCATTACTCTCTGGAAATGTTCATTCTGCTAGGAAGACTGGGGCCAATATTACAGGGAAATATTTTAACATATGATATTTTGTAAGTATTTCCTTCAAGCCCCATAACCTAAGGATTTCCTCATTTTGCTCATTCTTCATGCACTTATAAAATACATTGCACAATCCTGATTTAAGCCATGAAATTGCACAACGGGTTTAGTGTGCCAGCTTGATAGATAGTTCCATTATCCATAAGACACCTTCACTATAATCACTTGTAAGAAGGTATTATACTACAGAGGGCTGGATTTTGGAGCAAAGTTTAATTGGAACCAGAGGATAAATTTCCCTTATAAGTGTTCTGAATGTTAGGCTTCATCCCATTTGGGAAAGTTCACAAGAAGTTGAAGAACTATAGTTAGAAAGGATTTACTGAAGATAACAGGAAGCCACAACCCAATTTCACCAACTACAAAGATTCAATAATATATCCTACATAACAAAATAATGTTCACCCCTCTTATGTTTTGTTTTCCTTTCTGCCTACGTGAGGGATGACTTGGTACAATCTTCTGGGCTTCCTTTACAGCCATCCAATTTGCTATCATTATCTTTTCTCTTCCATTTTTGTTAAATAGTATCCGGTGAGCAGCCAGTTGTTTATATGTCTGCAATTTTACTATCCATGAGAACTATTTATAGCGGGTAATACTCAATGCCTAGAACAGATCAATATAGCCATAAGTGCATAATGGATTCTAATAGAAATGACCTTTAAAATAAATTCAGGATAATTAAAAAGTTATTAACCTGAATATTGCACTTTAAAAAAAAAGCAAACTTTGGAGTATAGTGCATGAAAGCAAAAAGCAGATGCTGAAGTTATGGAATCTCTTATAAAAGTCCTGATTTAACAGGGATCAACAATCTAAATAATGCTGGTAATCTAATCTAAGTTATTTTGCGAAGAGTATTTAAAGAATTTAAAGTAATTTTTGTTATCCACAATCCAATTATTGAATGGTAAGAAATTCCAGGATTTTGCACATATCCAAGTCAAGTTTCTTTTACAAAAGGATCCTTGGAGATGTTATGCCATTTTTAAAATATTTAAATCTTAAAGGTACAGCAGTTGGGCATAGTGGGGGCCAACAGCCAGATATTAAACAGGTGGCTATCATAGGTGCTCATGAATCAGCTTTCTAGAGATAGTAGAACACAAAGTTTAATGAGATTTTTCCATTTGCATTGGTACATGCTCGTGTCTAAATCAATACAGAGGGGCTAGCCTAGGTTTTCAAAAGTGGAATTCTTGCTTGAGCTACTGCTCCAGACAAATATTGTGAAAAGAGTTTAAAGTTCTTTTCTCGGCAACCATGGAAGGAAATTCCCCCTTCATCCTATCTTCTGGTTCTTTAGAATTTCTCCCCAACTCCTAGGGTCCCGTCCAACCCTATTATTCAATGTTGGTATGTTCCCACTATCTTCCCAATTGTCCTAGCATGGCTGACTCAGGAATTCTGGGAGTTGAAGTCCACAGGTCGTAAAGTTACCCATTCCTTTCTTAGACAATATGGTTGCCATCCATTGCTCAGCAACTGGTTGGAGGAAGAGTACTTTCCCCTTTCTCTTCTTATGGAAAAGGCTCCAAATTGGTTGCAACCACCTAGCTACCATTGCTTTGCTCCCTTACCCTCTCTATGGACTAGCTGGAGGGAACAGAGCACAGGGTAGGAGGGGTTAGCAGTGAGAATGCTCACATAGTTGTGGAAAAGTGCTGCAGAGTTGAAGCTGCTGACCCCTATGGAAGACCCTGGAGATTGGAAGGGTAAACTATAGTGAGATTATTTGCAAATTACCGTGCTAAACGTTCATATCAAAATAATACAAGTGTTTGCCTATCAGCTTGGAGGTACCAGAGCAAACCTGTCCAACAGGTTTTCCCAATGTTAAGAAGTTCCTATTCTGTCCAGTTACTAAATCTGGAGTATGATTTTGCTTCCTTTCCCACCTCCCCTCTGTCTTTTTCTTGTGGTAAACCTGTATGTGTGTGTTTATCTGTGTATATGTTATATTTAACAATAATGCAGACAGTCCCATAACAATTCCTTTTCCAATTTTACTCTGCCATCTTGTGAACCTCATATTTTAAATGTGTGAGTTTCTAACCTTTGAAACGTGCCCTTTCTGCTCCTTAAACATTATATTATCCAACCAGATTTGCAAACTAAGCAGCAGCAGAAATATTTTCCTCAATTCTTCCTGCAGTGAACTTAGCCCGCTATATTCTAGGAAAGTAAATATTGAATTATAATTTGCATGAACCAAAGTTTATGTCAATCTCATGAAAGCTTTTTTTTTTTTTAACCTGATCCATTGTTGCTCCCTGGAGATCTTTTTTCATTCTCTTCATCATCGCTGTCACAAGATATTGGCTGAACATCTAGCTTGTATTCTGTTTGATTTATACCACATTCCTGCTTTGTAAAGTTTTTCAAAGCAACAAGACGGTGATGGATGGCTGCATAGAGGGATTCAATGTCCTTTGTGCTGGCCTATGTGATAGACAGAAAGCATGGACCCATGAGGTGTTGTATTCCAGAGCATCAATGAAAAGGTGAACAAGCAATAAGGGGGAAAAAAAATAAGAGCCATGTAGCAATAAGAGAAAGTGACTGACTCCTGAGTGATTCAGAGACTTTTAAACAGCAAACTTGTAATGCTTTACAACAGAGGTTTTCAAACTTGGCAACTTTAAGACTTGTGGACTTCAACTCCCAGAATTCTCCAGCCAGCTGGCTGGAGAATTCTGGGGGTTGAAGCCCACAAGTCTTAAAGTTGCCAAGTTTGGGGACCCCTGCTTTATAAGATCAAGGTGGAAGCGGAAGTGTAGGTCCAATACCATCATTTTTACAGAGAAATATGCCATGAAATTGGGACATATGGATGTCCATCAGCTGTCTTTTTTTTTGATCTGTCAAACAAAATATCATTTGCTATTTGCTGCACTGTACTTTATTTTTAATTTTTAAAATACATCTGTACTCAAAAACCAGCCTTTTCTGGATGACTTGGAGCAGTATTTCTTAAACTCTTTTTCTCTCAAGACTCCTTCCCACCTCTAAAAATTATAGAGGAGACCCCCAAAAGACCTTTAGTTTGTATGGGTAACTCTATTAAAAATGAAAATTGATGCATTTGCTGCTACTACTGTTTTCACAATTATTTGATGGGATTCTAATATTGTATTACTTTTCAACAGAGGCTGGGAAATAAATCTAATTTTGCAGGCCCTTGAAAGAATAACTTTTTAAGAAAAACTGACTTAGAATAACACAGTAGAACATCTTTAGGCAGTGTTAAGCAGCTCTTAGCCCAACAGATTATTTTAAAGAAAAAGCTCTATTGTTTATTTATGTACTGTATTTTGTATACTAATTACCATTATTCAGGTTTTCCACAAAGCAGTTTTAGGATACAGAGTAACAAGTAAAACATCTAAAATGTCACGTATTCTTATTTGTGTGTCTTATTGCTTCTTAAATGAAGGCATTAGTAACTTCTTGCCAGTATTTCACTGTCAAAAAAAAGTGGGAGGGAGGGCAGGAATATTTTGGAGTAGTGTGCAAAGGAATGCTGCAGAATATTGATAAAAGTCCAGAAAATATCTTCTGGTTCAACTAATAGTTTAAAAAAAAAACTTTGAAAATCAAAGTGTAAATCAATTAAAATGGAAAACTTAAATATCTTATCCTTTTCTAGGATCACACAGGATGAGCCTCAGTGGAACAGTAGTTAGAGTGCAGTACTGCAGGCTACTTCTGCTGACTGCCAGCTGCCTGCAATTTGGCAGTTCAAATCTCACCAGGCTCAAGGTTGACTCAGCCTTCCATCCTTACGAGGTGGGTAAAATGAGGACTCGAATTGTTAGGGGAAATATGCTGACTCTGTAAACCACTTAGAGAGGGCTGGAAAGCAGTGTGAAGTGGTATATAAGTCTAAGTGCTATTGCTATTGCTATCATCATCACCACCACCAATCCAATGAATATCTCAGATCTTTGATTTGGGTATTTTCCAACAATTCAGGTTTTATTCAAGAGGCTAAGGAACCATAGGATTCTTATTCTTACTTGTATTAGGAAAACTTTGACGGAACCATCCTCCAGATCTGTTGCTGTGACGCACACACTCTTCCGGTTTGCTCTTTCTATCACCATCTGAGTCCACAGCTTGGTGTTAAGAATAAGCCTCATGCTTCCTTGATTTCGCATGACTGCAAGCACAAGAAACAATATCAAAAAGGTAGGCAAGCAAATTGAAACATATTAGACCTAAAGCAGGTTTTCCTAGCAATTTTGGGAAATTCCATTACTCACTCTCAAGATGCTGAAGGGCTTCTGCTTTTTCCAATGAAAGAGACAAAGGAGACTTTCTCTATGAATGTAGATTTAGCAGCTTCCAAAGTAGTTGCAGCAAATATATCTTTCTTATGTTCGGTACATATGTACATAGCTGCATTGACCAGTCACAGCAGCATAGAAATAGTAATTGCACTTATATACCACTTCATAGTGCTTTACAACACTCTCTAAGTCAAGGGTGTCAAGTTCAAGGCCCATGGGCTGGATCTGGCCTCTGCGGTATTTAGATCTGGCCTGCGGGACTGCCCTGGAAACAGCAGACTAGCCTGTGGTGCCTCTGCCAGTGAAAACAGAGCTTGGGAGTACCACATGTGGCCCTCCCAAGTTCCATTTTCACTGGCAGAGGGTTGCAGGAGGCAGAGGGTTGCAGGAGGCAGAGGGTTGCAGCAGAAAACAGAGTTCAGGACCCTGTTTTCACTGGCAGAGTGCTCAGGCCACCATAGGTGCCCTGACATGAGTGACGTTGAGCTGGCCATACCCACTCTGGCCACACACACACATCCCCCCCAAGGTCAAACACAACCCTGATGTGGCCCTCAATGAAATTGAGTTTGACATCCCTGCTCTAAGTGGTTTAAAGTTATTTGTCAAGTTGAAAGGAGAGCAAATGAGTCTGTTTGGTTGATTCTTTTCTTGACTTGGCCAGTGATTCTCTACAAATTTGGCCAACTATTTTAATTGTAGAATAAACCAGCAAAATATAACAACCAGATCCAAGCCAAATGGGTTTAACTATGGTGAGAAGGATTGAGAGATGACAAGCTAATAATAACTGAACAATAGAACAAAGTAACAGAGTTGGAAGGGACTTTGGAGGTCTTCTAGTCCAACCCACTGCTCAGCAGGAAACACTATATACCATTTTAAACAAATGATTGTCCAACCTCTTGTTAAAAAGCTCCCTAGGAAGGGCTCCCTAATGCTCAACTTAGGACTTCCAAAAGGTTATTGTTGGATGTGGATGATCTTGACTTTTTAATCTTTGCACTCTTCTTCAGAACTATGGTTTTAATAGTTAGCCCTGCTAAAATGTGATTTTAAAATATTTAATACTTTGGTAATATGTTTTTGCAGTTGGATTGTATGTGCATATTTTCTAATAAATGAGTTTATGTGTAACATGGGAGTCCTCCAGAAAGTATCACACTGTAGGCTAGACTGAGAAGTCAAAGCAAATCCTAAAGAAAAACTGTGATAAACCAAAATTGGTCTTGTTGACTGAAAAAACTATATAGTTGCATCCATATGATTCCTAGGAATCCAGAACATTTATATATAGAACTGCAAAATTAATTTTTACCCAGTCTTGATTGAAGCATTCCATGCTGATTGCTGGAGGTATCATTGAGCCTCAAACAGCCACTGCCTCTTTCAGTCCAACATAACAGGGCTTTATTAAATAAAAAAAGCCTGCAGTTGATCTAAGACAGAAGAAATCATCATCATTATCATAATTTCTACGACAGGAAATGTTTAATAACAATGGTCAACTGGTTTCTAGGCTATTTCTATAATTGCTATCAATTAAAAAAGAAGAAAATGACAGCTAAAAGATCTAAACTGAATATTGCATGTTTACTACTTAGACATTTAAAAAGAAGGGAAGAACAGAATTTCTTATCAGAAATTGAAATAAAATAATCTCCTCTTTCTTAGAGGAAGATGGTTACTTGTGAACTTGCAAAATTCTAATCTCTTTCTTGTTCTTATGGCAATACAAGAAAAATCCTGCTTTACGAGTCATTTTTGTTTTTTTTAATGCTTTTTTCCCCTAAAAGTGTGTTTACTTAGCAAGCATGACTGATTATCCTAATCCTGTGTATGAAAAAGCAGATTTCACTATGCAGATCCTTAGCTGAATGATAAATTATACCCAGATTGAAGTTCATATGCAGATTCAGCTAAGCGTTTCTGCACTATCTAGTCTCATCCTTGTAAAAATCTGTGACTCTGTCTTTTTACTGTCAAAAGGTCGAGTGTGGCAGCCCCTTTCTTGCTGTCTCAGACAATCGGTCAACATAACATTTGCTCTTTGACAAAAGCTTCCAACCTGGGCAGTTCTAACTGCTGCACCTGTAGACAATTGGATTCTTTTTATGATTTAAACAACTACAAAAGGATTTACACGGAGAATGAAAATATGTTTCCTGAACATTATCTTGCTCAGCATTGAAGTAATTGCTTTTGTTTCCACATGATTTTTCTAAAACAACACCACGTGTACAAGACAGAAACGTGAAGATATAAGTGGTCTTGTGTAATTTAGGACCCGACATGAGGTGGATTAGCTTTGATACTTTTTAGTGCACATGGGCTGTATTTTCATTTTTTGTGTGACTAGTTTGATAACTCCTGAGAAACTGTTCTGGAATTTAGATGACTATGAAAATTTATCGTTTCCATTAAATAATTTTTGAGGAAGCTATGTTTAAGAAAAAGAACAGGTGACAGGTAAGTCTATGGAGATTCTCAGTCATCCAGGTCATGGTTGTCCCAAAGGTGCTTTTTCAAGAGGCAACTGGACTTTCTGGTTTTTCTTTGAAGATGTTTTGTTTCTTATCCAAGAAGCTAAGAAGCTAAGCTAAGCTTCTTGGATGAGAAGCAAAACATCTTCAAAGAAAAACCAAAAAGTCCAGTTGCCTCTTGAAAAAGCACCTTTGGAACAGATGACAGATACGTTGCATATTAACCATTGGTAGAGCTCAACTTGCAACCATAACTGAGCTCCGGATTTTTATCATAAGACATTGCAGTTATAAGTTGATTCACATATGACTGGACTCAATTTTACAATGGTTCTTAAAAAAGTCATCAAGCAATTTTTTAAGCACATTGCATGATCATAAATCTGAATCTAGCTTAACCAATGGGTGTTTTTTTACCAGAAAAATGACAAAAAAATGGCAAAACATGATCATGTGACTGAAGATGCTGCAATCAGTCATAAATGCAAGTCAACTGCCAAGTGTCCGAAATACAATCATGTCATTATGGGGATGGTGCAGCAGTCGTAGGTTTGAAGACAGAATGTAAGTAACTTTTGTTGAGCCCAATGCAACTGTGAATAACTGTGAATAACCAATAAATGACTACTTGTAAGTTGAGGATACTTGTGGTTACCAAGTGAACTAAAATAAATCACTAGCACTAAAATGAGATAATATTCCTCATTCAGTAACTGGCTTCAATTAAAACAATCAGCAGCATTCTCTTGACATACTGTTACAAAAACCATAAAGCCACTGTGTTAAATCAGTACATCAACAACTGTTCAGAGCAGAGGTGGTATTCAGCAGGTTGTGACCAGTTCTGGAGAACCAATAGCGGAAATTTTGAGTAATTCAGAGAATCACAAATACCACCTCTGACTGGAGATTTTACAGTATCCTTCCCCTGCCACGCCCACCAAGCCAC